ACAGTCATCCAGATTGGATTTGCCATTTTTGTCCCTCTATGAAGTCTTTCTCCAGGACCTGGGATTATTGTTATGGTTAGTCACATAGTTTATGGTTTAGACTGGATTTGGCATTTTTATCCATCTATCAAATCTTTCCCATGAATTCGGGATAGGCAGATGTTGTCTGATGGTGTTAAAGGTATCATCACAGGGTGTAAGGTGTTCCAAGTATACAGCTGCCTTTTGCAATTGACCAATTGTGATTTTTGTCAATGCCAGTGGTGCTCAAGGGATTGGATCCAAGTGGCCTATTATTATTTGTACTATATTTACCTTTTTTGCCACAGCTGTTCTACTTCTATTTGCAGGTCTTTATATTTTGTGATTTTTCTATTCTGCTGTCTCCATATTCCAGTTATTAATGTGGGCTTGCAATGTTCACAAACTCAACAGGGTGGACTTAGTCACAATCCTGGCCCTCTTCCAGAACACAATATCACAATCAAAATGATGGCATCCATACAGGGAGCAGCTGAGTAGCATCATTATCAATATAATGAGTGATAACCTCCTTCATAATGGACCATACTTTCTACTAATGTAGAGTACTTACAGCAGTAAAACTATAAAGAGCCTTCCACCATTCTTTGTCACTTTGCACAATGAAATAGATCAGGTACATTCGCCGAATATCAGAGTTCTATCAAAAAAAAATAATAAAGTAGATTCACCAGGCTAGTCCCTGCTGAAGAAGAATCTATGAAACCTTATGCCATAATAAATATTATTAGATTTACATGAGTCATGTATTATCCCTGAACCATAAATATTGATTCATGGAAATACTTGTAGCTAAATGCTATAAATACTTATAGCTACTTGGACATGGATTATCAGAAAATCTAGGCATTCCATCTTCTTTTAATCTCTAGTTCTAATTAAACATTACAAGCCGATTCTGAATTGCACTTCCTCTCATTCCGTTTATAAAACAAAGGTTTCCCTGCCCCTTTCAGCCAACTATCAATGAACTGGAACGTGGAAGCTGAAAGGGGTTTCCGCCCCCCCCCCTCAGGAAACTTCATCTTACATATGTCTATATATGGAAAAACATGGTTAAATCATTATGAAGTTATTATCTGTGTATCTTGTTCACTTCCCAGTATAACTAATCCTAGATTTCTTCATATGTGAAATGCTAAAAAAAAGGTTCATGGATGTAAACACTAATCTTTAGTAACGTATACATCAGAGCTGTCAAACTCTCGGCTCATGGGCCGGATGTGTCACGTGCTGGCCGTGCCCAGTATAGCGAAAGGGGAAAAAGTCCCGATACATCACTTGATGCAACCACAATAATGTGAGTTTGATATCCCTAGCATACACCAAAGACACTAGTACATGAAACTGTATTCATGATTGGATAGGCCGAAGAATTCTCATAATGCCTAGATTAAGGTTTCTCAATCTTTACAACTTCCATATTGTTGGCTGCAGGGGTGGGATTCTACCAGTTCGCACCTATTCACTAGAACTGGTTGTTAACATTCTAAGCAGTTTGGAGAACCGGTTGTTAGAAGAAATTACTGGCCTAATCGTGTAAGGAAGGCAGGAAGGAAACATTCTGGTGTTGCTTATAGAAACTGCCCCTCAGTTAACCCTTATTCTTGGCAGGACTAGACTTCCTGTCTCTGGAACTTCTCTGGGATTTTTTTCCCTTCCTTTGTTGGTACTTTGCTTGTGTGGAGCGACCATTCAAAGTTACAATGGCACTGAAAAAAGAGACTTACGACTATTTTTCACACTTATGACTGTTACAGCATCCCCACAGTCATGAGAGGCCAGGAGAGGAGAGGCATGCCTCGATGATATTGAGTTGGCCACGCCCAGCCAATAACATGACCACCAAGCCACGTTCATCCAGTCACATGGCCACCAAGCCACACCCACCAACTAAGCCATGCCCACAGAACCGGTTGTTAAAAAATTTGAATCCCACTCCCGGTTGGCTGGGGAATTGTGGTATCTGAAGTCCACTCATCTTAAAATTGTCAAGGTTGAAATACACTGGCCTAGGTCAATGCAAATTGTACAAGCTCACATTAAAAGCACTATAAAGCCAAGCTCTTTGTATGCCAGAATTCCATCCCCAAATAAGGAGAGAAAATTTGATTTGTAATTATTTTTAGCATCTGTATGTTGTCGTACAAAACTGTTTTCTTAACAACCAATATAAAAAAAACCATATGGGAGGGGGGTAACAGCCCCAGTCTCTCTCTCTCTCTGATCCCTTAAATCTAATCTCTCCTCCATCTGCTGTTTTCAGGATTTCTTTTTGCCATGACAGAAAGAGGACTTACCATTTGTTTTTCCAAATTTTTCAACACTCTTTGGCTTCTTCCATGTACTGTATCTTATGCCCTGTCCTCAAAATATCCTTTCTTACAGCCTGAGACCATGGATACAATTAAAAGCTACAAAAGCATGAGCTATAGGGACAGTCAACATGTCTCGAGTGGGTTAATAAATCTTCTCCTTACCTAATAATAATTATTTGCCTAATAATTACTTACCTAATAATAGTTATTTTTAAAATAATTAAATGAGAAGTCAGCTTGCTATTCGATAAGGCCCAAGCATTTAGCACTGATTGTATCTGGCCCACCATACAAGCATTTTAAAATAAAAATGGTGAGTCATTGCAGCTCAGTGCTTTGTTTACCAGGATGAACACATGCCTGCCCAGTCCCCAAATAAAAAGGCGAAATGAGGCAGTAGTAAATATTCTATAACATTAGAAAACATAGAGGAGGACTACAGCATTTTGCATAAAATGGGTATTTCATGATTGGCATATCACAACCATTGTCTGAATGTATAACCATGTCCATGAGAGCCATTTGGTGAAGACACCGATGTAACAATGTACTCATGAGTTGTCTAATGAGTTGTCTACTTCTGTCCTGCAATATAAATATATGCAGCTCAACTATGATATATGTAGACATCAGTGCAGCCTATAACTTAGCACAAGTAGTAAAGCATTTTCAGAAGATCAGTAACATTATGTTAGGCCATGAGTTGCTTATTCTGTCATTGTTTCTTCTCCACTAATTATTTACATGTCAAAAATAAATAAGATGTCCATATCAACACACCAATATAAGGTAGCACCTGCTTTTAAAAGGTTCTTCCAAAATTCTGGTAAACCCCCTGGCTCTCCTTTCTGATTTCACCCAGAGTGCAGAAGCTACAATGTCCCAAAAATTAAAGTTTTAGCTATTGTATTCAGTTACTGTTTTGGTTAGAAATAGAACCATGGAATACAACTATCTTGGGATGAATAGAGCCTGAGTGAGCTTTGCCATAGCTGACAGCATTAGCAAGATTAAACTGCTGATGTTAAAAAGCTAAGCAACACCAGACATGGTGAATATTTCTAGACCAGGAAGAAATCTTACAGCCATAATTAGTTGGGGAATAAAGGTACCAGCAAATTACTTTCATAGTGTAGAAAGAAAGAAAGAAAGAAAGAAAGAAAGAAAGAAAGAAAGAAAGAAAGAAAGAAAGAAAGAAAGACACAAAGACACAAAGACACACACACACATACAAATTGGATGTGACCATCAAAGAACTCAGGTCAAGACTTTATCTTGATCCACAAGTCCAAGTAATATGAATATCTTCAATGAATCCCAGATAGGGTTCAGTAGTATCAGGAACTTATTTTAATCAATTGCTGTCCGTGTATATTATTATATTGTATATTGTGATGCTGTGCAAATGCCCATGGCTACATTACTGATCTGGAAATTGGTAATTTATGAAAGTCACGTGATAACCATTTTCTTAATGTTTTAAAATATTGCCTAGTGCTTTGTAGCACATTATTGCTGTTTTTGTAAAATCATGTGTATTTTTCAAACCAAACCAAAATCATTATGTAGGAGGCATATTTTCACATTCATAAGGCCTAAGAAGAAAGAGAAATGCTACTTTTTCTTCCATCTTTTTCTTCCCTGTGGTTGTGGCTTGGGCTTCCTTTTTTAACTGCCACCTGCTTTTTCTCAGGTGATCCTTTTTCTGCTTCAGGAAGTTTGGAGACTTCTATAGCCTACACTTGTTTGGTCTTGTTTCATTAAATTCTTTCCTCAATGGAGAGGGTCAATGGACTAACATGGACACCCTCACCGGGGTGGCAGTGATAATAATGGTTTGAGTCAGGGGTGTCCAACCTTGGCTACTTTTAAGACCTGTGGACTTCAACTCCCAGAAATGCTGGCTGGGGAATTCTGGGAGTTGAAATCCACAAGTCCGAAAGTGACCAAGGTGGGAAAAACATGGTTTAGGTTTAGTTGGAAGTCCGGAGGTTTTAAGTTTCTACCCAAGTACCCACTCAAGCTGTTTTGTGTCCTGGTTTCCACAGTGGTGTATTAACCATTAAGCAGACTAAGCACGTGCTTAGGGGCACCAGGCCCAAAGAGGACACCACAAGGTTGAGAATATGGCTTCGTTAGTACAGTATGTGTAAAGGAGGGAGGGGGCATCAAGATTTGTCAGTGCTTAGGGCACCAGTGAGCCTTAATCCAACACTGGGTTTCCCCAAGAACCGTTCCACAACTTCACCATCGCTGCTGCACCTTCAGGTACAAGCAGCAAAGTAACTTTTCAGGCGGCGTCGGAACAGAAGCGCCCGGCGATTGTGCAGGAGGGCGGACGGCGAAAGGGGCCAAACGGAGGGCCTTTTTTTTTTCTTTTTCTTTCCTTAACAAGACTCTGAAAATAATTGTCCCGGCGCTTTGCAAATCACAGGACTCGGCCAGGCTTAAGACACCCGCTGCTGCGGGCGTGTTAAATCTCTGTCCTCCCATTCTCCTTCCCTCTGGTCGACAACCATCTGGGAGGTCGCTGCAAGCCTTCCCACGTTGCCGGCTGGGTGTATCACCAACACGTTAGGCTTTGAGGGGCTACGGGCAGCGAAGCGAGCGACCAAGGCGCGCTCGCCCTCTCGACGCCGTCAGCCATATTGACGCGGCCAGCCGGGGTGGGTCCGGGAAAGGCACGCCCAGGGAAAGAGCCAAAGCCGCTGGAGCAACCGCGCCGCAGCAAAAGCCGCTCCACCCGCTTGAGGAGAGAGGACGCGCCTACGAGGTAAGGCCGCCGAGCGAACCTTCTCTCCGCAGGTTGCCCTGCGTTGGCGGGAAAGGAAAACGGGGGGCCGAAGGATCCGAAACAGTTTCGGGAAGCTCTCGCCTCCGAGACGGGAAAGGAGGAAAAAGCGCCGCGGGTGCTGGTGGTGGTGCTGGGGACGGACAAGGTTTTGCCCACAGGTGCCGTGGCGGGGGATTCCCACGCTGTGCTTCTCTCACACAGAGAATTTGGACTTTTTTTCGGGGTGGGATTTGCGCCTTTTTTTTTTTTCTCCCTCAGTCTCCTTTGGGACAAACTTCGCGCTTGGCTTCCCGAAGGTTTGCGGAAGGGAGAAGATCTCACCCTCCCTCCCTCCGCGTCCCACGGGAGTTCAAGGAAACTTCTACCCCAGGAAGCGAGCGAAAAGGTGCCTCTTCCTGGAATCTGGATTTCCCGCGGCGGTTTGTTTTTGTTTGTTTTTTTGTCCTCGCGCGAAAAGCCCCTCTTGATTTAGGAAGACACCCCCCCCCCCTACACACACACACATCGCCTAGGCTTGGGTGGCGTCGCGCTGCTCTTCGGGTCCGCTTTTCAGAAGCGCGCCTACGTGAATTAGGCGAGCCTTTCATCTGGCTACTGAAACGGAAGAACTGAGCCTGCTGGTTTGATTTGATTGATCTCCCCTTTTCACCGGCCAGAGTGCGAACAAATAGAACTTCTGAACTTCCCTGTACGGTGAAAGTAAAGCTGGCGCTACCAGTACAAAAGGAGGCCATTTGTTTTCTGCGGGGGGCGGGGTGGTGGTGTCGTTGAACGAAAGGGGCTCTCTCTTCTCTCCCCTCTCCCCAAACATTGAGTCGCTGAAAAATACTGCGGGGTACATCGGACCTACATTTTAATTGATCAGAAAAGGTCTCCTTCCTTGTAGTCTTGAAGGGCACCAGAGAACAATTACCGATCTCTCCCCGCCACCCAGTTAAGATCCGACCCCTCCGTGTGTTCTAGTCCTATGTAGAATGGACGTCTGCAGCTTGCTTATTGAGGAATGGTCCTAATCAGATTGCAGCCATTGTCTTCTAAAGGGAGCCGACTTTGAGAAATACGAGCTATCAACTGGTGGCCCGAGAGGCTTAGCACAAGTTTTCCTTCCGAGGGGTTTCGTTGATTCTCTTGTTGCTCGGATACTGGCTTTAGATACCGCCCCTGAGAGTCAGTCTCTCTCTCTCTCTCTCTCTCTCTTTCTCGAGAATCTTGAAATTATAGCTGCTCTTATGGGTGTGGCTGGCAAAATGACCTTCTCTACTTACAATTGGACTCTTTTTTTTTTCTCTTCCCTACTGGGTGAGGCTGCTGGTTCTGTTTCTTTGTAAAGTGGTGGTGTTACTAAGTAATTATTGGTCATGAGTGAATCATTTTTGCTTACTTAACCTGCCTAAAGCTCCTTAACTCTATCATGTGTCTGAGTTGGTCCTCCTTTGTAACCCATTCTACCAGATCTCCTGGAAAGCAAAGAGGATACCCATCAGCTGCTGTATGAATATTTGGCCTTGGATCAACAGGAAAACCTCAGGAACCAAAAATGCCGAAGCCGGTGAGTAGAAACAAAGAGCTTTACTTTGTTTTATGATGTTTAATGTTTCATTAAAGTTTCCTTTAGTATGAGTTGTGGAAGTTATCATTAATAAATTGGCACTTGCATGTAAGATGTTCTTTAGGGGCCTTTTGAGTCTAAAAATGCAAAGAAATGTATAGTCTTTGATTAAAACTTAATGAAATTATACTATTAATTGGGGGGGGTTGTCTTCTGATTTGGAATCTATTCCATTTTAATTGGAGTAAACCTCCTTAATGTTATAAAACAACCCTGAATTGACAGGTATAAAATTGTCATCAAAGAAAACAGCTACATTTTTTTTTCCTGGCAAGAAATCTAGGGGGAGAGAGAAAGATTTGCATAGCATATTATAGATATGAGACAAAATAGATTAAACTATACAAACACAAACACATTTTATATAAATCTGACACACTTTGTGCTTGTATTTTGTCTAGCTAGATTTTGATGGTCCAAAATAAAATGAACCACTAATATAGTAGCTAATAGTATGAGATTAAATTTCTCTTGTGTTGTTACTAATGTGGAAAGAACTGATTGAGGCTTTGACAAGTGACATGGAGGTAAAAGGTACAGTTTTGGATTCTTAAGGATTTTTGACAATAACTAGCAGTTCCTACACAGGCTGGCTGCAGTGCTTTGATACAGTAAAAGGGAGTGGTACATTTTCAGCTTTCTTATTGATCTTTCCCCTCAACTTCCAATTCCTTGAGTGTCACTGTTAGCACCATTTTGCAGACTACACTTGAAGAATATGTTCCTTATTTCTCCGGTCAATTTTCTTCATGCTCTTACTTGGCAGATGTGCTTTTTTTTTTAGTTTATTAGAACATGAATATTCCCACCTATGGTTGTCCATGTATGAACTGCTTGTTGCAACTATAATAAAGTATATTGTTGTCCTAGACTTACATTGGCTTCCTGTTGTCTGTTGAAATGTAAAGATAAATAAGGACACCATACCATATAATTATCCTGAATTCTGCATAGCTTTTATGCATGCTCAAGTCTTGCAGGTAGATTGTATTCCTTTAATTTGTTATATGAATGTAAATTTCTTAAGAAAATTAAAGTTGGATCCTTTTAAGAAAAAAAGTTGATGTGAAGGAAATCCACTGTTTTCAGATAACAAATTGAGAAATTCAGTAAGATGTTTCATGTGTTTTATCAGTTCCTTCTGTGATTCTTCATTCAAAGAATGCTTTTTCCTTTATCTTTGATGTGGTTGATAATGTTATATTGTTTATTCTTTGGACCTGTAAGATAGTACAGATATTGATAATGCAAGAATGGATTCCACTAAAAAATCTGGACCTTGCTTTCTCTCTCCAGCACCCGTTGCACTGATTTACACTAATTGTATCTGGCATGCTTCTTCCTAAGTATCAGTGGCATTAGCTATTGTTCTTTATTGACTGACAGGAAAGAAGAGCCTATGTTCCTTTGACCATGTTTTTCTCTGTTTATTTGAGCAATGGGGAGTGTTGGTGGGGGAATCCCACTTTTTCCTCAAAATTAAAGACTTATGTTGAGCTCCCTAGATGATATTAAATAATTCAGCATACCCTTATGAAGGCTTCAACTGGTCAAATGTTTCTTTTCAGCCCAGTAATATGTACTGGAACACCTCTTATTGCATGAAATGTCATTTGATTATTATTTTAGAAATCATCTCATTTAATAGGATTTGCTGAATAACTGCATTTAGAATTTTAGCTTAGTCAGAAAACTTACAGCAATTAACAGCTGTGATTTTTTTTTCATTTGAAAATTGTATCCACTGCTTTTATGGTCAAAAACCAGAAAGTAGTAAAATAGTCTGTTCCGTGTCTAGTACACTATAAGCCATTTCTTGCCCTGAAAGATTAACTTCCAGAAGGTTGCCAGGCTAACCCAGGAATGGCTGGATTGTCATAGTCCAGAATAAGTATGGAACATTCTGTAAATTCTGCAGAAGTTTGATCTCCAGAATAGAATGTTTTGAACAGTCCTACTACAAGTAGTCCTCAATTTATGACTATAATGGAGCCTGCTCATCACAGTCATAAATCATGAGTCTTAAAATGAGTTGGTCACATGACCAACCCAATTTTATGACCTTTTTATAATGGCCATTACATTAATACAGCAATTGTAAAGTGGCTACTCTGGTCATTAAGTGAATGCCACAGTAGTTAAATGCTTTGCTATGGACATAGTTTTCAAAAAAACAAAAAAGGAAATGCTGATTTTCAGAGAAACAATTGTAAAATGTGACCATGTGACTGCAGGGCGCTGCAAATGACCATAAATGTGACTGTGATGCCAAGACTCAAAAGTACTACTGGGGAGATGGCCATTCACCTTTAAATCCAGGTCATAAGTAGCCCCAAGTTAGATCCTGCGTAATTTCAAATGGTCGCAAGTCAAGGACAACCTGTAAAAAAAAACTCTGGAGGGCAGGTTCTTCACATTTGTCATCCTGTAGTTCAAGTTGTAAACTTTTTTATATGCATGCAGATTAACAGGAGTGGTTGCTGTAGTTTCCCCCATATGACCTTGGACTGTGCATTTACACTGAATGGCTGCTGTTCTGAATTACTTTTCCACAAGTCACATGGAAGCCAAGAATGTGCTTCTCTAGCAAAATCGGTATCTAAAAAGCTGTTTAATAATGAACTTGGAATTCAGAAGGATGGCAGGGTTCATTAGCTTCACAAAAGTAGGTTTCTTCCAAGAAGATACTGCAGTATTTGTCTGTGTGCTTAAGGCTAAAGGAGCTGTTATTACGCAAACACAATATCTTGCTGTGCATTGGATTGCCGGAAAGTTCTATTAACTTTCCACAGAATGCTTACTCATTTTTTGCAATGACAGGGTCAGGGCCTGAGAGCCAGGAGATCATAGTTACTGTTATTCTAATCAGCTGGCTTAGAGAGATGCTGGGATATTGTACTGCAGTTCTCATTATCCTATCCTGGGATTATTATAACCTTTACTCTCTGTGACAAATGTACATAATGCTCTCTTCTTCCTAGGCTTCAGTTTTCTATGGCCACATTAAATGTCATGGAAATTTTAAAAAGAAAAAAAATATTAGACCATAAGAGAACTAGAGTTCCAATGTTACAAAGTTTTTTCCTGAATATTAGTTGCTTTTTAAGAATCACCGTGAAATGTTTACTTCTGACAAGCACACTACTTATGTAATTCTGAAAATCTATTAGCTATATTTGTATTAGCAAACAAAAAGGGCAGCACAATTCATGGAGGAGAAAGGACCTGGCTGATTCCTTAAATAATCATGGGCCACAAAGGAACACCTGGTGCATTGATCAGCCGTTCATTGGGTAGCAATGGAGCTGGCTCAGTCAATGAAGTCTGAAGCATTGCAGGTGTCAGCAGCTTGTCTTTTGGGGCAGAGATGCTAGCAGATTCTTCAGGCAGCAATTTTTAGTGGCAGGGACTTTTAAAAAACAACAGCAAGCTACAGAAGGCTGCTAGGAAGGCCATAGTATGTGCAGGCCTCTAATACAGCATACTAAATAGACTTGGTAATGTTAAAAAAAAATCAGGCCCACTCCAAAACTTTGGAAGACTGGAAAAATTGAGCTAAAAGAGTCTGATGTTCAGGAGCATTTTGCTACTGCAATTTCTACTTTTTTAAAAAAAATTGCAGGCATTAAATGGATGCAAAGATACAGCTTTGATCCAAAGATAAAATAATCATTTAATAAGGTGAAGATATAATGGTTTTGTGTGTTCATAACATACCTCTTATAAGATTTTTTGTATGCTGACAGGTTCAGTAAGATGGGCCCATGGAGACTGTAATAATTAAAACTATGACTTTAGAAAAAGGAAGATAAATATGGTTTCACAACTGCTGCTTTTTGTGTTTCTACCCATAGAAGTTTTTTGATAGATAATTAGCAAGTTAGCACCTTAACTTTGAGTGACAATGTTAAGGTACTCAGATTTTTTTTGTATTTTATTTTTTAGAAGGCCTGGGGGTTCCATTTATCTTTCCTTCCTTTTTTAAATTTTGTATTTATTAATTTTCTTCAAATTCTAATTTTATTCCCAAGTCTAAAGTATTTAATATACTTTATTTCTTAAACAATTTTCTAAGTATCTTTATTTCCATATTAGACAAGGTAATCAGTTAGCAAAGGGATCTTTTCTGCAATTCTAGTTTAGAAATTATGGATTAGAGGTTAGAAAGTTGTGTGATACTGAGGAAACCATGGTTTTAAAAGACCACACAACATAGGAAGCCAACCAACATTCCCAAGTTCTGACATTAGATATACTTAACATCATTACTATTGAAATCAAAACTAACACTGCCAGTTCTGTAATGCTGCAGTCTACTTGCTGCAATGATTAGGAATATTATATAGAGTTCTTATTGTTAAACCTTTGAGTATTGTGCATCTGGATAAAAGTTACAAAGAAAAATCAAATGTATGAAGCAATTGAAGTAAATCCTCTCCAGGTAAAATTGGAACTCATAATGTTGATATCACCTAGCCTAGGAATGAAATTCTTCAGGAAGAGAAACTAACTTGAGAATACCAAGAACTCAATACTGAGCTACATATATTCTTCACAATGGGAAAATTTTAATACATGTGGATTTTATCTGGTGTGGGGAGTGATAAGGGTCATAAGAAAAGCTCTTTGAAATTATTCATGTAGATAAAGCGGTTAGAGAGGTTTCTTTTCTCAAAATACTAGATGTGGAATCTACTTAAGGTTTTTCATAAGGCTGAATGATTGAGAAACAGAAGTACTTAAGACAATACATACTATAGTTAACTTTCTCTATGAACATATTCTTTATAAATCTTCAGCTGGTCATTGTGAGAAATAAGTTACTGGATTAGATAAATCTTTGCTCTGATCCAGAGTGCAGTTTTTGTTTTCTTATGTGTAGGTTAGGTGAACACCCATGGCCCTCCAATAAATTTATAGGAAAGTTTATAATTGGTGTG